GCTTGCTGATGGGATGGGGTCCTTCAGGCACTTAGCTTGGCTGCCTGTTTAGTAGCTCCAGCCCTTCCTTCCCTCCCTCCCTGGGAGTCTAGGCGCTTCAGTGAGCGGTGCGCGAAACTTCGGCCGGGCTCCTCAAAAGACCAAGTTTGCAGGCTGCCGATTGAGCGCCCGGGCTGGCTACAAGACAAACATTCATTCTTGGCCGTATTTGAGATTCCTAACAGCAATGGACAACAAAGCTAGGGTGGAGCCCGGGTGCTTCACTCCGCTAACAGGAGGCCAAGTTAAGTGCCTGAAGGACCCCATCCTGTCACCAATTCATATTAGTGGTTCACGGGATTTAAAATTATGAATTTAGTGGCCCCTGAGGTCCGAAAGGTTGGTGACCCCTGAATTAGATGATCTGTAAGGCCTATCCTACTGCGACTCTGTGAAAAATAAAACCAATCTATTTGGATTCCTTCTTGCTCTTCGCTTACACCTAAAGAAAACAGAAAGGAATCAATATCAGGTGCCTTTGTTGTGTTTCTCATGAGTTTGGAAAAGCAGGATGCTATCTTACTCTCTTGGATCGTTCTCAGATCTTTCATGCCATCTTCCTTGCAGGTACCACTTCGAGACGGGCATCTCCAAAGTGCTCTTCATTGAGAACTCTTGGTACTATGAGCGCATGTATCTCTTCAGTACCTCCAAGTCCTACTTCAGCATCGCAGCGGAGGAAAACGGTCTCTGGGTGATGTATCTTTCCCGGCCCGATGAACACATCATGGTGGCAGAAGTCGAGGAGGAGACCTTTTCTGCGTTGCGGCACATCAACACCACCTACCCGCAGTCCAAGGCGGGCAATGCCTTTGTGGCTGGCGGGGTGCTCTACATCACCGATAAGAACCACATGCACGTGGCTTTCGCTTTCGACCTCTTCCGCGAGAAGCCGTTGGAGGCCCGCTTCGAGCTGAAACTGTCCCTCTCTTCGGAAGGGTTCGAACAGAAAGTGTCTCCAGCCTCCAATGGGACCTTGGTCCCGGTGTTGGCCATGCTCTCCTACAACTGGTTGAATAAGCATCTACATACCTGGGAACACGGGTTTCTGATACAGTATCCCGTCCACTTTCTCGTCTAGCGTTGGACAGCCCTTGGGTCCTCCACCTCGACAGTAGCGCCTGTTTTGAGAACCTCTTCGGATTCCTGTCTTCTGTTCAAAAAATGTCCAACGAAGAGCGTATCGGGATGCAGACCAGGCAAATTACAATGGTTGGCGTGTCTATGAGTTAGATCTAAAGACTTGTGCTTTCAAAGTTAAGGGCAGCTCTTAGCACCCTGAGTTCTGTTGGTCGTCTCAAGTCTTCCAGTTGGTACAGAGGAGTTGAATCTGCATCAATCTTCCCATATTAAGGCAGTTGTAATAAAAAAAAATCTTATTAATGTACCCTGTAATTCTACTGTTGCCTGATATGAAAATAATACAAGACATGATGTCCCGTATTTGTGTCGTTCCTTTGCCTTCCTCTGTTTTTGTGTTTGTGTTGCTGCAGAGATCACTTACACACCAAAGTGCAAAGGATGGGAGAAAAGAAATAATCTTAAAGGGTTAAGTGTTAAAGGTAAAGGATAGCATTCCTACCTTAAGGTAAAGGTTTCCCTCGCACATATGTGCTAATCGTTCCCGAATCTAGTGCGGGGTGCTCGACTCCGTTTCAAAGCCGAAGAGCCAGCGCTGTCCAAAGACGTCTCCGTGCTCATGTGACCGGCATGACTAAACGGCGAAGGTGCACGGAACGCTGTTACCTTCCCACCAAAGGTGGTTCCTATTTTTCTATTTGCATTTTTACATGCTTTCGAACTGCTAGGTGGGCAGAAGATGGAACAAGTAATGGGAGCTCACCCTGTTAAGTGGCACTAGAGATTCGAACCGCTGAACTGCCAGCCTTGTGATCGACAAGCTCAGTGCCTTAGCCTTCAGACAGGGCTGGCTCTTTGGCTTTGAAACGGAAATCAGCACCGCCCCCTAGAGTTGGGAACGACTAGCACAGATGTGCGAGGGAAACCTTTACCTTAAGGTAGGAATGCTATGCTAGTAAGATGACAATTTTTGCTCCACAGATTAAAAAAACGGTGCAAGAATTCCATCAACAAACTGGGGGTTCCAAAGCATTTACCCCCCCCCCACTCCCCAGGCAAGGAGGATTCCATCAAAACCAGTCTTGGTCTCAACATCTTCCAAAGCCACCTGATAAGATGCCAACCCTACATCCCTGAGGCCGAGTCCTGTGAAATAAAAGGAATTTATTTAACTTACAAAGATAAAACTAACCAATGATATTTGCTTTCTTCTCATATACATACTTCACAGCTTGCAGTTTAAAATTGCTTTTTAGACAAAGGTGCAATTTATCCCATCGGCTTCTGTTTTGCTCGTACAGTACAGTACATACACAAACACTCACAAGAGGGAAAATAATAATAATACAATTCATCAACATTGAAATACACAAACGTCGGCTGTTTCTCTTCGTAAGAATGTGTTGGCTTGTTTAGAGCAGAGAAAAATACGTCTAAATATGACCAGAACTAGTATATTACAAGCAAACAAGATTGACCTCTGCATAGTTTATACAATTACGCTGCGGAAGTTGGTTTAAATTTGTCAAACTTTTTCCTAGCTGGCCGTGTGGAAGGCTGATATCAGCTACTCTCAAGTGAGCAGATGGGTTTGCTACTGGATTCTCCCATAGTTTTATTTAATGAAGTGTTGTATCTCTGTGTGTGTAAGTGTGTGTTTACTGGCCCAAACAAAACTCAAGTGATGAGGAGACATTAGCTATAGTTTCTTGAAAACTTTTGAAGTCCACGATACATTCTTGATAAAAATGACAAGGCTGAAAATAAATAGGGGGAAGAGGAAGGACCCTAAAAGTAGAATGCGGTATGGGATGAAGGTCTTCAGAAGACATAGAAGTCCTCTCCTCCTCAATCATCTCTTCTGTCACTTTTCCTCCTTGACTCATTTTCGTCAAGGGAACTGAGACATGGAGGACACTCACAGCAAACGAGGGTCTAAATATTGCACAACGATACGCTGGGAACATGGAAACACTAGGACTTGATCTTGGATGGCAATATTATGGTTCAAAAATGTTGACCGTTCAGCGCGATCAACATCAACGTGCAATTTTAGGGGGAACAAAAGAAAGAAACGGATTGTATAGTAACTGCGTCACGTAGCGTATCTCGGTTATTATGTGCATTGATGCTAACTGGAGAAGGATCTCAATATTAAATTAAATGAAACAGCAACAACAACCACCCTGATGAGACTTCAAATCATTCCTCATTGCACATTAGCCCACAAATAGTGCATTCGTCACAGGGCCATCCTTTATAGGGCCCCAAGAAAGGATTACGAATAAAAAATAAATAACACCCTAAAAATTGCACTCCCTCAGAAATCCTTATCTCCCCTTTCATAGCCGGAAGGGAAATGGACATGATTCAACTGAGGGAAGAGGGACATGACACTGAAAAGGCCAACTACGCATCCACCCGAAAGGATCTAACTCTGAAATAGGGCATGTTTTCTGCAACAAACCACGATTGGTGCCCTAAGAGGTGGTATGCTGCCGGTTTGCACCAGTTCAGGCAAAGTGGTAGTGGCGGCGGCGCGAGGCTCCGCCCACTCACCCAGAGGTCATCAAGGACCTTCTGCGCATGCGCTCTCGCTACCAAACCAGGAGTGAAGAAAATAGAATACCACGACTGGGTGCCCCGCCCCCGCCCCCAGTGCCGCCTCAGTGCTTGGAACGATACGAAATGTGAGTGTGTCAACCTTGCTCTTCCCGCTACTTCAATACTGGTATTAAGCGTTGCGCTAATTTCTTGGGAAGCCAAGTGTAGAAAAGTGTTCTTCTGAACTCTTGAGGGAAGGCCAGGCCTTCTCCTTTTGACGGGGAGGCTGCCAAGGCTACACAATGTCGCAGAGGTCTGAGGGGATATTGAAAGCGTTGGGCAAAACCCTCATTTTCAGAGTGCCGTCTGCCCCGCAGGAAAATATGCGGTTGCCCGGGGCCATTTCGATCTGCATGACTCCTGTACTCAGGTTGCGGAAGATGGACTGCTTAGCGTGTTCGTGTTTGAAGGAATGGATCAAGCCATAGCCAGTTAGTCTCCAGACCTAGGGGAGGAAAGCTTTTTGTTAAAAATAAAGTAGACAGGCAGGGAGAAACAGACAGACGATCTCCAGGAACTAAGTTGTATTTAACTATTGTGGGTCTAGGACCTTTCATCTCCTAGCATTGGCCACCCCTCCATCTCCACCAGCGTTTCTGCTGAGGGCAAATGAGTGGGGGCAGAGGAAAATTGCCCAGAGGAGGGGGAAACGCTGGTGGAGAAGGAGGGGCGGCCAATTCTAGGAGACGAAAGGTCCCATTCCAAACTATTGTGGAGTCCGTGGTGTCCAAGATCAACCAAGCTCAGACTCCATCGTTCAACCCTGAGCTACCAAAATTCTCTTCTATTGTTTAACTGTTGTCTGATGTATGGATGAACCATGGTGGCACAGTGGTTAGAATGCAGTATTGCAGGCTAATGCTGCTAACTGATAGGGGTTCGATTCTCACTGGCTCAAGGTCGACTCAGCCTTCCATCCTTCCGAGGTGGGTAAAATGAAGAGCCAGAATGTTGGGGGCAAGAGGCTGACTCTGTAAACCACTTAGAGAAGGCTGTAAAGCACTGTGAAGCAGTATATAAGTCTAAGTGCTATTACTATCTTCCTTCCTTCCTTCCTTTCCTTCCGGCTAGAATGCAGTATTGCAGGTTAACTGCCGACTACCAGCAGTTCTATCTTGACCAGCTCAAGGCTGACTCAGTCTTCCATCCTTCCGAGGTGGGTAAAACGAGGACCCAGATTGTTCAGGGCAAATAGGCTGACTCTGTAAAACCGCTTAGAGAGGGCTGTAAAAGCACTATGAAGTGGTATATAAGTCTAAGTGCTATTGCTATTACTTTCTCCCTTCCTAAGACTTGGCTTCTAGCCCTCAATCCTTCTTGTTGCCTTTTCTGGGCTGGGAAAAGTGGACAAACTCACCTTTACGTTGCCTTCTGCAGAACCCGTGCAGAAGCATTCCTCCGAGGAATCCAAGGCCAGGGCCTTGATTGAGGAATCATGCGCATGAAATGTGTGAAGGGCCTGCCTTTGCCGGATGTCAAAGATGGAGATATGGCCTTTCCTGCCTCCGGAAATCAGCAGCTGATGTTTCGGTGCATAGTGAAGCACTGTGGCGCCATGTTCATGACATGTGAAGGCTAAGAGAGAAGACAATTATCCAGGTGGTTCTTAGAAAGGGTCCTTAACCTCAACTACTGTAACGCGCATAACATGGGGCTGCCCCTGAAGAGTGTTCGGAGACTACAACTGGTCCAGAATGCAGCCGCGCGAGCGATACTGGGTGTACCTAGGTACACCCATGTCACACCTATCCTCCGTGAGCTGCACTGGCTTCCCATCGGTCTCCGGAGAGGCTTCAAGGTGCTGGTTATCACCTATAAAGCCCTACATGGCCTAGGACCTGGGTACCTGAGAGACCGCCTCCTGCAACATACCTCCCAGCGTCCAATAAGATCGCACAGGGCGGGCCTTCTCCGGGTACCGTCAGCCACACAATGCCGTCTGGCAGCTCCCCAGGGGAGAGCCTTCTCTGTTGCTGCCCCGGCCCTCTGGAACGAGCTACCCCCTGAGATCCGGACCCTCCCCATTCT